AGAATTGAGACAATTTTCATCCAATTTTCTCGGTTCCAATGTTACATTAAAAACTACAAGATAATGTGTAAGCTGCAACTCGTTTGGGATTCAACAAATAAGCGTTTTGATGAGAAGCTGACTGCTCGCAATCATTTTACATCTGTACCATCCTGAGAGTCGAAAGTAAACTGGAAATGCATTGGCCTTTTTTCTTTTGCTGTGCGAGTCATCGAGAAAACTCTGGCCATCCTCTCAGCAAACAGAATCAAAACTAAAAATTGTTCACTCGTGTTTTCCCGAGCTTCAAGCAGTTTGCATGTTTTTTTTTTACTTTGCGCTCCTATTGCCTCATGGGTGTTGTAGAGATTAATTTTTTTTCATTCCTATAGCGATGCCTGGAGACGTCGCCGCCGTCGTCGCCGTAGCGGTAAGATGGACGAAGGTGCTGATGTAACAAGCCAGTTACAAGATTCAGCGGACGAAGGAAAAGAAATTCCCATACACGCTAAAGAAGTTATTGAAGCTCTCCAAGACTTGGAAGATGAGTACGATCTTCATCCAAAACACGCCGTTTAAAATAAATCATGAAAAAGAACAACAAGCACCGAAAAAGTTGAAAGTACAGCTTCACACGGCAAAGAACTAGGATCTGTAACAAAGCTTTGATTTTTTCTTGAATTACTATTTGTCACTGTCACTGTTGTATATTAATAAATAAGAAAATGAAATATCGGTTTGTACACTCTTGTTCTCCCTAAATTGCACTTTAAGGTCACGAGAATAAAGGATATGATCTCCAACTTCAGAAGATCTTGATTTTTAAGGAAATTGTCCTTGTTCTTATGAAATGCACAGAGAACGGTATAAAGATTGAGCACACCAATATTAGGGTGCAAAGGCTTAAGCCACACATTTTGCCACTGAGACAACCTGAATGGGTGTAGGGTAATTAAAAAGTATCAAATACGTGATCCCACAAATTCCTGTGAAGATCTCTATTTTCTTGTTAAGCGTTAAATCAATCTCACTTTAGTGACTATGATTTAATACGAGCATACAGGGAGCATATACCATATACCAACTCCAGTTATCATTATATAGCCTTGTGCTTGACCAGGACAGCAAAACAGAATTTACATACAAATTGTTCAATTTTGTGCCGTTGTTTTCATTTTTCTTTAAAGTACTCTGTTTTTCTTTTTCTCACTACTTTTTTATTGAGCATCTCTCTTTCACTTTGAACTTTGTTAATAAATCGGCGTTTTAATAACGAGAGAGGTAAATTAGAGCGGAAAAGAAAGTTTGGAAAGAAGTCTTGAATTGGTTGTGTTTAGAATTCAACGTATTTCGTGAATGAAGTATGTTAAACTGACTGTAACTGAAAGAATCAGGTCAGGTGTTCAAAAGAGATCACTGGCTAACATCACTCCCTCGAGCGTTAAACGCGCGAGTGATGTTAATATCACCCGCGGGTTAAGGCTACAACTCCTTAAATTAAGACAGCGATCACTTCGACAGAAAACAGTTTTTACGAGATACGTCTTTGATTGCGATTTTACTACGCCAGTACCATCCTGAGATCTCTTACTGAACTTTCCAATCATTTTCAATAGAATGGAAAGTAATGCGAAAATGCTTTGGTATTGCTTTCCTTCGCTGTGTGATTGATGGCGATACTTGGATTGATCGGCATTTTCACAAGGAGATACGTAAATTACAGGAAGGAACGTTCGGAAAAAAGTCGACACTTAGCATTCTTTATGTTCAGCATATTTCGTGAATGAATCATGTTCAGCTGTTCACAAAACACATAAACAATGAAAACATATCCACAGTTAAGATGATATTGTGACGTTTGAACACCTTTTGGAATTCAACAAGTTCTGGCTGAAAGAACGATAAAATGATTTAAGAGATCAGTGGTTGTCAGTTCAGAACGCTTGAGATAGTGACGGTAATATCACCCACGAGGCATCTGTTATAAATTTGACAAGTTTATCACAATGTTCGCTGTTTGAGACAACAGCGAAAGGGCAACTCGAGTAATCAGTGGGTATACAGAATGGATGCCGCCAAATAATTTGTAATTTGAACATTAACTGGACCTGGACAATTAATTCTAGTTTACTTGGTTTCAATTTAACTGCTAAAAACCACAAGATAGTGTTAAGGCCATAACTCTTTGAATTAAGACAATGATCTCTTCGACAGAAAACAGATTTAACGAGATGCTTCTTTGAGTGCGATTTTATACGCAGGTACCATCCAGAGATCTCTTTTTAAACTTTCCAATCATTTTAAATAGAGTAGAAAGTGATGCGAGAATGCTTTGGTTCTGCTTTGCTGTGTGATTGATGACGATGCTTAGAGAAAACTTTGTCAATAGATCGGCATCTTCACAAAGAGACATCATTTTTATAAAGAGGAACGTTCGGAAAGAAGTCAACACTTACAGTTGGCTGTGTTCAACATCTCACGTATTCTGTAAATGAAACATGTTCAGCTGTTCACCAAACATGAAAACAGTTATAAATGTTCATAATTAAAATGATATTGTGACGCTTGAACACCTGTGGGAATTCAACAAGTTCTGCCTAAAAGAACGATAAAACGATTTAACTTCATCCCTACAAGACTGTTTCGTGATTAGTCACTCATTCGGGAGTTTATTGCAAAATGAAATGAGTGAGTAATCACGAAACAGTCTTGTAGGGATGAAAGTAGAGTCTCTTTGTTTCTTCCCTATCTAAATGTATATCGCGCTCTACTTCTACGTATCGAACATTGTACTACGGAAAAATTGAAACACAGACTTCCTCTCTCTCTCTCTCTCTCTCTCTCTCTCTCTCTCTCTCTCTCTCTCTCTCTCTCTCTCTCTCTCTCTCTCTCTCTCTCTCTCTCTCTCTCTCTCTCTCTCTCTCTCTCTCTCTCTATATATATATATATATATATATATATATTTAATCTCCCATGCTTTTTATAGGTAAGTACCTTGTTACAAGAAATATTGTTCTTACGTTTTTTTAAGAGATCACCGGCCATCTGCAAAAAATTTCACAAGTTCAGCACAATGTTATTGTACAATGTTTCTGACAACGGCAAAAGGGCGACTGAGAAACAAGTAGTAATCAGTAAGTATACAGAATGGATGCCACCCAATCAGTAACAGTTTGAACATTAAAACTGACGTTAATGATATAAATACCTCGTCCGAACCATCAGATGTCTCAGAGTTTGAATCAGCGAGGTGAATTTGAACACTCAAAGAAAATCAAGATGAACAAGTTTTGGATTACAGTTCTTGTGATGGTAGCTATTGCAGCTCTTCTCATTGATAATAGGTATGTGTAGCAGAATGAAGATTTCGTCGAAAGATATACTAAAGCTTAGAAAACTAAAACTTAAACAAGTCTCGTGCTCTGAGCACATTGAGAAGATCGCAGAAGGTAAAAAGTTTTTGAGTTGTGATTCTCGTCACGTTTCATTGCTGTTCAGCGGTCTTTTTAATTGATGGCAGGTTACCTCCCTTGCAAACTTTCATAAAGTTTGAAACAGCCGAGAATCTATAACGAACTGAGAAACTGATAATTTCGAAGTTGCTTGTATTCAGGATTCGGTAGCGTCCTTTTTAAAGACAGGAAAACGATGATGATGAGTATGATCTTCATCCAAAACACGCCGTTTGAAAACAGGCACCGTTTACATTGAAAGTACAGCTTCACACAGCGAATTAGGACCTATACCAAAGCTTTGTTTTCATATGAATCACTTATCATCACTGTCACTGCTATGTAGATTAATAAATGAGAGAATGAAATATCACTTTGTTCCCCTGTGTGCTTTTCCTTCTTCGCGCAACCCTCTCCTGAGCTACTGCAAGTTCCTTAATACAAATACGGAGTACTTGGCATATAAGTCTACTGGAAAACGTTGCTAAACTTCTCCTCTTAACCCTTTGTTTTCTTTGATTGACTAGCATCTTCTTTCTCCCCACATTATCACCCTTGAATCACACCTTAGGGCCATGAGAATAAAGACATTGATCCCAGCTTATGACGATCCCAATTATTAAACAAATTCTCCTTATCAGCACCTTTGGATATGTCTTTAAAACAATGGAGAATATGCATGCTGATGTTAGGGTGTATAAGCCTGACCGGGTTTACAGTTACTGTGAAGACCTAGCATCCTGTTACGCGTTAAATCAAATGTCATGTTGTAGCGAATTTGTAATTTTTTTTTTTAACATTGATTTCTCACGAATAGGTCTGATATTCCGCGCCCATTAATTTACACTGACTTATTATTTTCTTTTTCCACGTATCATCTCTACACTTAATGTAGATTACACCGCCCTGTTACATCACGTTTCACGCACCTTTTAGTAGTATACCTTATTTTTTGCGTCGATGTAGACCTCTTTCCTACGAATTTTTCGATTCTTGTACATACCCTTTGTATTTGGTAGTTTTTGTTTGTCTCGTGGTATTATATACTTTGTCCTTCTTATATAATAGTACGTTTTTGTAAGACTCCTTCTGTTCCTTAGGAATTTACTTCTTCACTTGCGTATATAAGAGTTTTTGAACTGAATGCTGAGTAAACGTATTAAGTGAAGCGGGCTCTTGTCCCTTCACCTCACTTAAGGGGCCATATTTAGACGATTGAGGCCGTAAGGGCCCAGCCTTCAGCTCAACTTTAACAGGTTTGAAATAATACACGGTACTGATGACGCCATTAACCAGCCGTTCTGAGTAAGTCTGGAACCCACTCTCAGAATGAATACCCTATATTTTCGTGGCATAGCCATAGGTAAAATTTGAAATGGTGAAAAGGTGGGTGGTTTGGTAAGGTTTTTACCAGTATAATTATAGTAAATCTGATAAATCGACAGTAATTTAGCGTGATCTGTACTCCTATCGAAACGATATTCGTCAACACAGTGGTCAAAATGTTGTGAACTCACTAAGGCTCACCCTCTCTTTTCTTCATCTTACTGAGCAACGAAAAAAGAATGATTCCATTTATGAAACTCTTTTATTCAAGACTTGTTAATCTCGTACAGCCTGAACCTACGTTTTAAATTTAAGAAAAGAACATGTCAAATGGGAAGTAAGGCCTTGCAAAGATCAACGTTAATTCAAATGATCTTTTCCATTGCATCAAAAGGCGTCTTCCCTATAAGTTTAATAATTATCGTTGTCTCCAGGAATAATTCATAGTCTCTTCAAATATAAACATATATCTTCATGGGACGAATACAAAATATCATCATGTCATTTCAATAATATATTGTTAAGAACTACATATTAAGCCATCTTTAAACCCTTTGTTCCCTAAGTGTGATTGGCATCTAATTCCTAATTCCTACAATAGGACCCCTGAATCAAACAGTAAGGTCACGAAAATAAAGGAAATGATAACCAAATAGAGAAGCTCTGAATTGTTACACAAATTCTCCTTGTCAACTTTTTACGAAATGTATAGATAAGGTGTTGAGAATATGCATGCTGATGTTATGGTGTAAAGGGTTAAGAACCTCTTTAAAGGGTTGACAGCAAACCACAGGCTAACAACCAAACGAAAAAAACCAAACAAACAAACAGCAAGGAATGTCAGTTATATTAATTTTTACTAAACTAGATCATAAAGGAAAAGTTGCTTGAATTTGGTACCTAATAATTTATAGTCGATGAGTATCAATAGACTTTGATTGAGTAAAAATATCATCGTCGGATGTTGGAACAGTAGAAAGCTCTTACACTTGAAAAATATCTACAACATTAAGCTACCGATAAACATTTCGCGCAAGATAAAGAGAAAACGGAGCGAACATTTATCGTAAAATCAGAACACATTTCAAACGGGAAATGCGCAAGTGCAACTGCTGCAGAAAGCACCGACAACCACCCAAGTCTGGAATTACCCATTTATAATCATAGATAGAAAATCCACAGTGCGAGTGTTAACATACCTTGCCTAAATACAAGATAGTCAGATTAATCCCAGTCATGAATCAAATGCAGATCAATGTGGAAAAGAGCCCGTTAACCATAAGATCACCGTGTTTCCCACGAAAAAAAGACAAACGAAAAAACAAACGACATAATGTCAAAACCAAGTAAAGACAAAACAAGCCTAACATCTATAATAAATTACACCCCATACCAAATGCTCATTGTTTAAATGAGTTCTGAAGTATATTTGGCGAGCACGCTACTTTGCTTAAGTTTAATAAGCACTTCAGATTCTTATAAATATCTAAGTAAGGTCAGATAGACCATTAATGATTCCTCTTCAATCAATCTATCAATCAATCAGTAATCTATTGCTCAATATGACTTTGTGATTGGCAAGGCGCGGCAAAACTTTATCATCTATTTCTAACGACCATGCGATGCAAATAACAGTAAGTAATATTTGAGAGAATAGTTAAATATCTGTGTGTGTGTCATTGGGCACAAACTCATTAGTCTCGCATTAACACGATTACAAGAACAGATATGATATGTTTCAAAATATATCCTCTAACATTTAACCATATGTAACTTACTGGAGATTCAAATCGCTTCTAGAAAGATTAAAATACAAGAGTCACCCCTTGGGGTATGCGTTTTCCCATACGGGAGGAGGGGGGGAGGAGGAAGAGAAACAGGTGCCTTCCTAACATTTGGGAGTATGTTGGGGTGTTTTTTAATTAGCAAATATTTCTTTGTCACTAAAAAGGAAGTCACCAACACACTAGTTCCCAGTCAATCCCCTCCCACCTAAGCTACGCCCGTGGGAAAATCCATCCACTTAGCACACAAAGCAAGTGATTGGTTGTCGCAATTTTTACGCAGTTTCAAATATTCTTTTGCCGTTTGACGACGGCTGCAGTCTCGTCACGCCATTGGCGATTCCTGGATTTGTAACCCTGAAACAATCAAGCAGAAAAATATTTAGCAACAAGCAGGATTCTCTTTGCCCTTGAAACGTCGAGCACACTTCGAAAAAAACCAGCATAAAGAACTTACACTTCTTCCATCTCCACTTCGCCATCACTTTCGTCTTGTGGTACATGAAGATAAGGATTGTCCGGAGCAGGTCGGAACTTAAAGCTATATTAACACGTAATAACGGAACAAACATTCATCGTGGTAAAGTCGAAATAAAATACGGCTACTATCACTTTATAACAAAGCATCAATTATTTTCCAATAAATTTAACCTCCTAAGATTGCGGTCAATTTTCTTTGCAGTCTCATTCGAAATATGGAACTGCAGTAATTTTATCGCCTAAACATGATGTGAGAGACCGATGTGAGAGGCCAAGGGGGGAGGGAGGGGAAGGGGGGATTAGCATCATCGCTCCTGAAACCACTAACAGCCCTTCCTAGAAAATTTTGTTCAACAGAATGAAAATTTGCAGCAATTATGGTGAGCATTCTCCAGTTGTATTGGGGATTAGGGAGACAAAAGGTAGTCAGAAGACAAGGGTCATTTTTAAGATCTAGTAACATACATTCATAAAGATCACCGTAGATGTTATAAATTATGTAATCACCCTTCATTGTTGGTGACGACGATAACAATTTATCTCTAATCAACTAACAACACTCTAGATTTGAAACTCGATTAAAGAACTTTAAACATTGTTTTCTTACCCAGTCAGTACAAAGAAGACAAACGATGCTGCATTGTTGAAGAACTGAAATGAAACATGTATTTTTAATAGTTTCAAGAGTTGAAAAGCATAGGTAAGATATTAAACGGGAACGAAATCTTGGCTTCTGCTGCACCAACCACATTTCGTTAGATTTGCTGACATTTTACTGGTATCTGTTGATATTTCTGGGTTGGGGATGCAAAGAGTGTTTTCCAAGAACACTGGACAATGACCCAAGATGGATTAAAAAAGGCACTTTGGTCATACCTAATCTCTAGATGTTGCATCATTGGAATATTGGATCCGTGCTCATCATGAGCACGAAATTCAACAAGAATCAAGATCGAACGTCTTTGATTACTACAAGAACCTGTACCAAAACTTACATCATCCAGCCACATATACTGAAATGGCACTGTTATCTGAAACAAAAACATAAAAACAGTTCAACTACACTAAGCTCTTCAATGAATTCAGGTGAGTGCAAGTAAACCAGTCTTCTCCCCACTGTTTGTGCCCTTAGCAACCCCTTCTCCCAAGGCTCCAAGGGAGTGGCATCAAGAACAAAGTTGCACGTGAACAGCTAAAATAAAACATTCTGTCTTCAAGACTGGTGGAGATTAATAAGTTCCACGGTGGAACTTGCATCTTTTCTTGGTGTCGATGGTCCCACTCACCTTTATCAAATACACAATTATTCTTGTGAAATAGATGTAGCACACAATCTAAAAACAAAGAAAGAATACAGGTGTTTCCAATTAGAAAATGCAAAATATGGAGTGCTGTTAAAAATGTTCGTGTTGTTCACTATGGCGAGACACTATCGCAAAACTATTGTTTGTCTCTTAGTGTAGTCGATTCTAATTTAAACTGCGATGTGTCGACTAAGTCTCGTTTGTGTTCAAAGTAAGTGTCAGCGCGTAAAACAGTGATGGGTTGTATTTCAACAGGATTCACACCAGCCTGTACAGCCAAGCACCTTACTGTGCGAAGGTCTTCATGGGCAAAATATTGACCCAGCTTCACACTCTGAATATGGATGTCTGATACAATAAGAAATTACTGTACTTAGACCATGTAGCCTAAATACGGAACATGGGTAACGGGGGTAAGGGGCACTATACTATTCCCCTATTTTAAGAGAATCATTTAGCGAAAAAAGCAAGCAAATCTTTACTAAAATTCATATTAAATAAATATCATTACACAGCTGATAAACCCTTTTAAACTTTGAGAGGTCACCTTACCATCACGTAGAAATGTCTAAAAAGCTTTAACTTGGCTAGGTTAAGAGCAGCTGCAAAAAAAAGAGAAAATATCCCCAATTAGGTATTTTGAAAAATAGCTTTCTTACTGCAAATGTTGCTGGAAAAAATGTTTTATTATCAGTCATATAACGTGTCTTATACCTTTGCCGTCTGTTTGAGATCCTTCCTGTAAGTGTCTTATCGACCTGAAAGGCAGAAGAGGCGTGGTTACACTTTCAGAAAAAAACACACGATCAGTTTGATTCTTAACAACTTTACAATCCTTTACCAAAACACTTTCAGCCATTAACAACATGTACAGCATGAAAAATGCCAAACAATGTTAATCCTAATCAGTTCAATATTCTTAAAATTCTAGGGTAGAATGTTAAAACAAAACTGTAGTCCTATAGCGTGGCTTAATAGCAAGTTGCCAAGCTAAGATTTTCATATGAATAAATGATTTGTTTCACGATGGGAAGCCATGTGATCAATAAATTGAACAGTGATCACTTCCCTACAACACTTCTTAAGAAAACGACCAAATTGAGAAATTACATACACAGATACTCTTCGAATCAAAACGAAAGAAATTCCTCCCGTTATAAATACAGTATTTGGCACTAAAGTTACATCTTACTTACCATACAACAGGAAACAGAATTGCACCACAGCAAAGCAAGTCAACCAAGATGAATAGTTCTTTGTAATAATAGTCAAGGCATTAACTTAACTGAAACACAGCTCTCACTCAAACTCAATTTCGCATCTCTGCCGCTATGTATCATTTTCTTTTGTTGGTATTTACTCTCTGAGAGTTTTTTTTTCCTTGGCCTTTCACATGACCTTGTGGTCTGCAGTCTTTTATTTGGTCAAAGAGGAAAGAAAAATAGGAAGGAAAGAATGAAGGAAAGGAAGGAGGAAAATGAAAAACTTGAGAAAATTTTCTGTGACTCCTAAAACTTTAAAAAGAAGACAGTGAAATTTTTGAGGAGAAATGATTAGAACTAATGGAAAAAATCTTCTTAAGTCACATTTAGTCAAATATTACAACACCTTCCCCACCAAATGAGGTGTTTCTTTGTGTTGCCTTATGGCAAAAGTCCAAGATTTACTTTTGATACCAAAATTATTGGAAGTTATTAAAGGATATCCAAGTTGTATACTGTGTGTTTGCTTCCTCAGTTGACTCCATCACAATCTGAGCTGTGTTGGCTAAAATCTACAATGGACAAAAAGGGGAATATTTAATAAGAAACCAAATGCCTGCGACTTGTATGAATAATAAAATAATACTGGTAATTGTTCAAAAAACAACAAAAAAGATGTCATGCTCAGCAGCAGACACATGTGGGTCTTAGCATCAAGGGACAAACAGTGCTGCAACTCCTCCACAGGAATTTCAATAAAAGCCAGTTACCAGCAGTATATTGCCTCTTAAAGCACCTATGAATGCCTCCTGTTAAGATTTGATTCACAAGATTTCCACAGCACTTGGTAATAATATGTCTGGGCATTCATTGAAACCTCTCTTCACTTAAAGTGCCACAAAATCTCCCAGGATATGAGATTGAAATAGAATAAACATAAATTCGAGAAACAATAATTAAACACATTATTACAACAAAAATCAGAGACTGCTCTCATGTTCACCATGAGAAACATGAACCATGATAACCTTATATTTAGGAACTATGGATGTGGTACATGTACTGCATTTGGTATGCTTCTGATATGCTATAACATCAATAAGTCAATCAGAGAGCCCTTTTTACCATCTTAACTAACTAACACAGACTAAAGGTCTGACCTAATGTAAATGAAAAGTTAAGAGCCCAACACCTTCCCTGCAGAAATGTTAGGGCTTTAGCTTCCATCAGTTTGTGTATATCAGTGAGAAACTTCTTGAAAATATGTTAATAGGTAATGAGGATTGTGCATTATTCTTACCTGCAGTGGTATGACAATCAAGAATATCTTTTTGTCTCTGTCTGACAGCACATGCTTGATGAAAAAGTATCCAGTACCAATAAGGACAATGGTTGTGAACAGTAATGCCCCTTTCAATCTAAAATGGAAAAAGAACAGATCTTGCTTACTGGAATGTAATATTAATTCACTCTGGCATCGACTTACACTGTGCTAAACAATGAGTTTTATACCATAAACTAAATATTACACACAACTAATGTCACAAAAACTTTGCTTTCTTTTCTCTGTTTTAGATGACACAATTTTGCTATGCAATTTTTAAGTACCTTTCCATATAAAACAATAAGCTAAGAAAATTCTATATTATTTCAAGACTACAGCTTCTAGTTGAAAAATATGTCAATTTGTGTCACCTTCAATTAATGTATTAATATTGTGAGGAGTTGCAGGTGCAAGTAAATCACCTCTGGGAGTTACATGTCAAAGGATAGAGTGTGAACACCAAATTATAACCAAAGTTATTTGGAAAAATTGTTTGTAACCCCTGCCCATACCTTTGTCATGTTTCATCAGCTGGTGTAGTCAAAGGTCATTAATGTAATCAACAATGCTAACAAGGCTGTGCTCTTAAAAGATTAACCAGGTGCGTGAAGACTTTGGTCTCAAAATCTGAAGTGCCCAGCTCTTTATCCTTTCACTCCCAAGATCTCATTAGTAACTCTCTTTACTGTCTGCCATACAATTCTCATTTTAGTTCAGAGAATTTGGTAATGGATCAACCAATAATCCTCTAATTGATATTTTCATTTATTGTAATGAATTGTCTGCTTGGTACTGTGACAATGAATTCTGTCTCAGTCAATCATGGGGGTTGAAGGGTCTTTGAAGACTTTGATGAGAGCAGTATTGCACAATCACCAAAGGTACAAATTAATGGCCTATGGCACCTGGCCTCTGCTAGAGCACAGCCCTGACTGACTAATAAAGCTTACAGATGTGTGATGTAGTAGAGCACTTCCCAAGATTCCTCTGGTTTACCATCTCTACTAATAAAGTGATAATTCACCTGTTCAGAGAAAAAAATATAAATTTTCATGACTAAAAGTTATGCAAAAGTACATGTTTACCCTCATCCAGACATTCCCAGAGTGCAAAGATATATTTTGCATGTTTCTCTTTTGTACAACATGTATGATGGGACAAAACTTAATTTGAGATGTTAACCAAAAGACAAACTCCATAAAAATTGATAACACTTAACATCAAACTACAAAGAAAGTCCAAAGCAGCACCAAAGTAAGCTACATGTACACATGCACCTTTTTTGGTGATATTACAATGTTTCATCTGAGTTAGTATTGCTTCAGTCAAGAAAATGCAATTTCAATGCTAATAATATGCATGAAAAAAAAATTAAGTGCCACTCGTGGGCTGGAAATGAGAGCATTTTGAATGCAACACAAGTGTAAATTACAAATAACATGCACATGCTGTCAAAAGTTTGTGGGTCCTAACTTTCTGTGATGCTTTTTCATGTAAAATTGTGGTGATATAAACAAGCGCTGATCAACTTCAAAGCACTTGGTTACATTTTGCTCTGCAGTTTTTTAATTCCCTGTGTTTTCAATACATTCCCAGAAATAAGAGATTAACTTTTGGGAAATTTCTATCTGTCTGAATTTTACTTTTTTGACTAAAAATGATGAAAAACCTGATTTTTTAACTTAAAAATGGGGGTTGACTTATACACGAGTTCAACTTATACAAGTAAATACCGTAATTACAAGTAACAACACAATTTCTCATGCAATTTGCTGTAAGTAAGTACTTAAAAGACAACAAAATTGCTTGAACCCACAGGGAAATTTACTTGTGCTCATTGACACTAAATTGCACTTGAAATCATATAATTAAGAAAAATAGCTGTCATTTTCATGACTAAGGATAATGTTACATCTAAATCATAAAAGTAGCATTTCACCCAAATCATCAATGAAAGTAAATGATAAACACAAATAAGAAAAGTATCTGTAAACAGGAAACATTTTAACCCATCAATTACGCAAGATGATATATTTGCTTCATTGCAATAAAAATAATGTCCAGTACTTGTTGGAACCATGTTCTTCGCTACAACAGGGATTATTTTTTTTTGCCATGAACTTTTTGAATGGTATTGTCCCACAATCATACGGGAAATTAAAATTGGCAAAACCGTGTGACCTATTGGCCATTTATGATACAATTTGACAACAGGTAGCACTAGATACTTACTGCTTGAAACATCAGATCAAGAGATTTTAAAAGGATCAGGATGAACATCATGTAATGTACTTTGTATGTGAAATCCCTATTACAGAAGCAGAACAAGGTCACATACACTCACAGACAATAGCTATAAATGTGTGAATTAAGATCAAATTTTCTATTCAGCATGGTGGTATCCTCAGAAAAACGAATATATGCTCTTTACAGTACAGTTTATGACTAAATAATTCATGTCTAAAAATGATATTTTTTGTGATAGAAGTAAGTCAATGAAAGAACTGAATTCACTGTGAATCTCTGTTGTAATATTTTATAAATAATAATATACACAGGACAAAATCTTAATTTCACATATAACAAATGCCCCATCAGCCAGTCAATTTATGAATGTAATTAATACAAGAAGCTGCTCAAAGGGTTATTTCAACTTACTTGTTCTTTTGAAGAACATGAAGCCAGTAAATTGCTGTTCCAAAGAAGAGCACAGATAGAATACCAAACATATATGGTAAAGGTTCCTGTGTTAGATTAATGACAGAAATTTAGCACAGGTGCAGTAAATGATCTTAGAACTTGTCTAGCAAATGGACTCAAAAAAAGAAACATACATAATACAGTGTAGCTGTCAAACATTAAAAACCAGAAAAGAAAAAAAAAACTAAAGGGAAAGCATTCCCCTTCTCTACACCTACAAGGGTTGAATGGCCATTTTCAAGTGGTTGGACTGTATTTTACAGAAAAACTTAGGACTGAGTTGTAACATTGTACTCTGCATTTTAACTTTACACACTAACACAAAGTACCAATGAATACATTGAAGGGGAAAGTTTCCAATGAAACCAGGGTCATTTGTTGGTAGAGATAATTTGGTTTTATGAACTGAGTTGATAAATGTATATTGGCCACTGTAAAGAGTTTCTTAAGCTGATGTTTTAAATGGTAGGCCATTGTTGAATTGGTACAAAATACAGCTTTGTACTACTGAAAGAAAATAGTAATCATGAAGTTTATATACAACTTGTAGTTTAAAGTGTAAAATAATATATTTTTTTTGGGAAAAAGGATCTCAAATTATGACATACAAATTACAGCAGCGTGCAGTGTAACACCGCCCTCACCTCTCCAGCAGACAGAAAGTTTTTACCATTTTTCTCTTTGATGTCAATCTATTGGTAAGATGGATTGAAATTAAAAAAATATATTTTATTTAAACCCAAACAAATGAGAAAAATATTCAAAAGAATATTATATTTCATTGAATGAAATTATTTTGGTGCTACACTTCACATGAATCTCAACTTCAGCTTGTGTTAAAGCAACTCAAAATTCAGAAAAAAAATTACATAAATTAATTTTAATATGTATTTGTATGTATTTGTAGACGTAATTTTAAGTAGAATGAAAATACCTTTTACACACATGGTTCTGCAATCAGTATGCATATTTTCTAAACTGCTCTCCATAAATTTTAATAGTTGCTGACAAGGAGAATTTGTTTAATCAAGAGCTTTCTTGATTCATGATCATTTCTTTAAATCTTTTGACCTTAATGTGTGATTCAGGAATGACTTGTAAGGAGAAATTAGATGTTAGTCACTCTTGGGGGTTAAATGATTAAATCTAAGGATGCATCAATAAGAATATCAAGTACATCACCTCAATATTCACAGCTGTAGCTGTTTTTTTTACACCTGGTATGGGACAGATATGAAAATACAAGTTATACAATCCCTCCTCAGCCTTCCTCTGAATCTTGACTGTGAACTATAAAAAATTACAGAGGGACATTGGCTTATAGTTAAAAATCATCAATACCTTCACTCTCTATTGTGCTATCCATGTAAATCTTCTTGTGGCTGATTAAAAAGTAAATTAAGTGCTACTTTGCTGGACAGAAATTAGAGCCTTAAACTGCCATGCTGAAAGCATGCCAGATCTTTTTTGGTAGGTCAAAAGAAGATTTGAATGTTTTTTGTCTTTGTTTTTGTCTTTGCACACTTCTTGTGCAATCGATATCATGCTCAGCTAAGGTTGTAGGGAGTATTTAGAAACTGGATGCCAACTTTCTGGTAAATGAAGTAAATGTAATATTTAATGGCATGACAAATCTCATATTTGATTGTTTAAAAATATAATACAGGCAGCGATTTTGCTCACTACTTTCAACACCACCCAACCAGCAAAATGCCTGTGCTTACGGCATGTTCAACCATTATATATGCATTTCTTATTTAAAAGTTACATTATTAGTTCAAGTGATCATGTGATAGCTGATGAAGGTGAAGCCTAAATATAGTATCATGCATAGAAAATGAAGAGAAATAGCATAATTGTTTAACAATAAATCTACTCATCACTCCCAACTGAACAAGAAAACAAGCTCATATTTATTTATTTATTTATCTATTTTGATAACTGACAACTGTATGCTGTTAGGCTACTAATTCTACTTACTATCTATCAGGGAATAGATAGCAAGAAGCATAGCCAAGCAGATTGCAGCAATCACAATTGAATGCTAGTTGTTTTACACTTTGTCTAATGATTGATATTATGAGTAAACCAACTCTTTTTCCAACCACTGATTGTCACAACTGGATTCCAGGTAACTTACAATAACAGATACATAACCAATTATCAAAGTGGTACATACATGTACATTGTGGCACCTGCATAAGATGAGGAAAAGAGAAGATTAAATCAATTAAACTTACATTTCCAGAATACACATTCTCAGACATGGATTCATTGATCTTCTTTTGCATCAAAAGCCATTTTTTTTCTTTGCTTTTAGTAAGTGTTGTTGGATTTGTACTATCTGCTGCCCTTCTCCTTCTATTTTGTATCTCCATTACAGAAGTCTTGTTTCCAATGGAGGAAGGTTGTTCAGTACTTGAAGTATCAGTTGTTGATGTGTTCTTTGGAGGAGTGTTAGAGGTTACTTTCACAACAGTTGTTGATGCTTGTGTTGTAGTATGATCAGAGGATGGAGATGAACTTGAAATACTCTCTCCTTCCTTACTAGATGAGGTAGTTTTAGCTTCCATAACTTCTGGTTCTGGTTCTGGTTCTGGTTCATATTTATCAATAGTCAGGTTTTCAAAGTCATGTCCAAATTTTGTGATAATGATTCTGACCATCAACAAAAACAAGAATAAAACAGTTAATTGGAATTGACTGAGGAAAAAGTGTCTGTAACTGTACAACAACAAGCTAAGTACATGTAGGAAAGAAAATTGAAAAAAAGAGAAGCACATGGCAATGCCCTGGCAAACCTCCTCTGTGCTTTCCAAATCCACAAAGGAGTTAGTTTAGACTTGGTCTAAATTATATTTACCCCTTAATAAACAAATATTAACATTGTCAAGCACAACAGGCACTAGCTCAATAATATTATGCAGAGACATGTAGACTTATTTAATGCATGTACACCACAAATAATATTGATCTACCTCTGAACTAAAGAACTGTTTTCAGATTTAATCACAACAGTCACTAAATGTATGTGTAGCAAGATATCAACAAATGACACTTCAAAGGAAAAACTGTCTTAGTAAAAAAAAAAAAAAATTAAGTGATCCAAAAGGCAGACCTCTTGAAAAAATCCAAAAAAATAGCAATAAGCGAAACGCTAACCATTAATAATATTTATTTTGTGTATATTCCATACAATGATCAAATAAGCATGACAATACTAGAACTGGAGGCAATCAAAGACACAACATTAGACAAAATGTAAATGTATCTTACTCTGGTCCACTGAGATCAAATTTGAGAATTGCCAATGATATCTGGTTCACATTAGTAATCTTCTCTGGATCATTGAGAACACATTTATCAGAATGTTGCTCCTGAAAAAGTTCATGAAATAAATTAAATCAAACCTACAAGTTTGTGGAAAAATAAATACATAAATTGAAGTTTATGCATATGTACTATATATATTTATATAATAAATAAGTAAATGAATAACCAAAATAACACATGCATTTTTATTGGGTCTTATGATCTATTGAAAAACAGACACATAGATAATGTCACTATTAATGATATTTAGCTACTATCTTATATAAAACAATTAGATTCCCTATTGCCATGGGTCTGTTCAGTAACAGATTTCAAAAGATGTCAAAATGTGGTAAGAACATTAGTGATGTACTCAGCTGTGCCTTGTACCACTTTTGACGTCATCTGTGATCTATCACTGAAAAGTCACACAGCAGAGTGGAGTACGATGTGGATTTCTTATACATTATATAATTAAGACAGGCAGACCTTTCCATTCAAATTTTTTTTGCATCTGTTTGTATGTAAGGAGAAGAACCTTTTTTTTTTTTGCATTTATATATGGTGCAGTTTAATTTCATTCCCAAGTACAAAATTTCATCTCCAGTATGACTGTTGATATTTTTCTTGACCTCATAATCCTGTTTACTCACTATAAAATTAATTCTAAGAACAAAGCAGTAATTTTTTTCCTCGTGTGCACAAAAAACAACCAGGGCCCAGTTGTATATCGCAGATAATGCTAACCAATGGATAAATCGCTATCCAGCAAATAAGTGATGGCATATAGCATTATTTACCAGACAGAGATTCATCCAATGGATGGTGTTATCTGACCTCCGAACAACTGGGGCCAGATGGAAAAGTGTTTGTCCACATTAGCACAATCCCCCTCCCAGAAGACCTTTAATCATCTCAAAAGACATGTCCACATAGAGGCTAATGAAAATATATAATTAGAGCATTTGCAACAATATTCTCAAAAAGGTTCCAAAATCAAACGGTTTCTGTCCACACTAAAATGCAAAGCTGGGTGGTGATTCATCATTTATCCCCTTAACCCTTTAATTCCTTGAAGTGATTAACACATGACTTCTCCTTCTTAAATCCAAACATTACCATGCAAACAGCTGACAAGGGTACTCAAATTTATCAGGTAGAGGTTGTTCTCTTGATCAAACACAAAATTCTTGTAATAAATTTACAAGGAAATGAGTAGCAGCAAGAGGGGAAACTTGCAGTCAGATTTTAGGAGTTAACCCTCTAACTCCCAGAAGTCTGTGATTAACATGTAACTTCTCCCTATAATATCAATACATTATCTAGCAAACAGGTAATGAGAATACTCAACCTGATACAGGTAAAAGTTGTTATCTTGATCTATCACCAACTAATTGTAATTAATTTACAGGCAAATGAGTAGAAGCTAGTGGGGAGAATTAAGAATCAGACCTTTCTCTATTTTGAAAAGAAAATTTTTTGGATTATTGTGGACAGTAAGCCTATGGGTTGCAATAAAATGGCATCTCTCAAGTAATATCATAAACAGGCCCTCAAAAAATTAAAAACCAAAAAGATATATACTGTGTAATTAACATAAATATAACTTCAAAAGTTCATTTCTACTGTTTAATACTCATTGTAAGTAATGTTAGAAGCTCATATTCACAATTGGAAAAACCGGAGCCCTTAGAGTTTGTGGTGATTTGTGTCTCCATATCACAGAATCACCCGTACCACACTTCCAGAGTTCTCAGATGTTCCTTACAGCCAACGTAAGCAGTTGGGAAGTTTCCTCATTGTACTCACGGCGACAAACTTAACGCGTCGATCCGAAATTAATAACGGCACAGCGACTAGACCCTTTTCTGCAAATGCTACAGGCCAAACAGTTTTTCATGTCGTTGCTTCCCTTTGAACGAGTCAGACATTTGTAACATATATTAGTTTTTAGTGTCACACCTGATTGCTCAACCCCTATCGGTAAAATATACACTAAGTTGTTCTTACCATGTAAGGGGAAATACCATCACTTCCAGTCTTTTCCAGGGAAAAACCAAACTGAAAGGGAATCGACAACCGAAAGTTAACAATTGGCTTGAGTATTCAGCTAAATTCGCTGCCTGAGCTTTTTAATGCGAAAAGCTAAATTCAACTAAGTTATTGAAATTTGCGCCCTCACTGCTCGATATCAAAATATACTTACGATTGCGGGATTTTTCTCCTTAAACCGCATATTGGTAAAGTTCACTTTGAGAACTCCATTCTGAAGAAATCCGAACTTACTCAACTCGATCGTCTGTCTAGTTTCATCCTATAAATTGCACGTATAAAAACAAGCGATAAATAAAAGATTAATGGAACAAAAACACTGTAGAATGATCTAATTTCATTAAAAGACTATACCTTTAGTTGTATTCGATGATTTCTACCCAGAGTAAAGGGAACAAATAGAATAAATACGCAAAAAACAAACGTATTTCCACTAAAGGCAGTCGCCATTTTGTTGAGCCATCGAGGGTAAGGAATATGACGTCACTACTCTTTTCCAGTCCTTTGACGGAGACAACTTGTGTGAATTAACCAAACGAAAACAACATGGTAGACATCTTTGGAGACGAGCAAACATTTTACTTCGCTTTTTTTACCTTCACACTAGCCACGATTGTGGCTGCTTTTATCCTTTCTAGGTTTATAACTCTCAACCCATCGTATCACAACTAAAAGGTAAAGTTGATAGTGATAGAAAAAAATAGACAGCGAACCATCACTGCTTGACTTAATAATATTCTAGCTGCGAGGAAGCTCCAACGTGGGATTTTTTCAATTAGGACCATTTTCCTTTTCTTTAAATCTACATAAGCGTAGAAATTATTATTTCTTGAGCCAGCAATTTTTTGTTTTTTTATATTGTGGTCAGTGTTCTGGTATTCTTTTCTTCTTGGTAAATGCGTAGCCTCTATGTACATGTAAGCGTGCTGTCAAAGAAGCGTCCGTTTGCTTGACACCTGTTATGAATTTGTAAATTTAGGTTTTGGTTTTTTGATAAGGTACTTGAAGGGAAGAGTTAATGACAATTTTATCATTATCTTTGTGAAATCTTCCAAACTCGTCCATGGCTCTTTGTGGAGGAATTGCAACTCGTATATAATTATAAGCTCAGGTCTTCACAATTTCCTATTTCACTTACTTTTGTTGCCACTTGCCGCACAGCTGTGTAGGAAAGGGTTAATAGGTTGAAGTGAATACAGATTACAAAAGTGTGAGAGGGGAAAAGTTCACCTTCTCTAATGTTTTAGAGAAGTTTTGTTTTCTCTGTTTTATGTTCCATGGCATGCCTGATGTGGGTGTGATGTGCAAACTGGGCTCTGATAAATTATGCTGGCATAATTTTGGGCATAATGCTATAGTCCGAGTATCAAACTTCATTTTGGCATAACAACTTAAATTCTTAAAATTTCCCTTGATGCTACAGTTAAACAAGAGGCAAAATCTGCAACCTGAGTACTGTCTGTAGAAAGCCTGCTACCTACGTGTAGCTTACTCTTTGAGAATTTAATCCCATTAAGTGATGTGTTTTGAAGTTTAGTAAGCCTTTTGTCCTTGATAAGTTTTACCAGTTGTTAGAAGAATTGGGGGAAGGGGGTTGAGGTTGAAGGGCTCTTAAAATCTCTTAGATTGAATACAGCAATATGCCATGTTTTTGTGTTACTTAAGTGTAGACAGTGGCCTTCATTTTGCAGAAAAAATGCACTCAGATATGTGTTTTCTGGGTGAGAGAGATAAGCGTCTTCTTCAAGAACACAACGCAGTGGCTTTGTCAGGGTTTGAATGGGGACTAGTGGTCTCATTCAAAGTCCTGTATGCTTTAACCATTCTGCATCTTTCACTGATAGTATTGAAGTGTCCTGGAAAATAGTTAGGCTGAACATGGGTTTAGTCTCAGGTGTTGTTAGAAATATGTCTGAATATGATCAGATACAGAACAGAAATAGAAGAGTCTTCAGGCCACTTACCTCTCACATTGATTTTTATAGTACCCTTTTATCTCCTGATTTTTGATTTGAGGAAAAGTTTGATAGAATATCAAAGAAATTGTACATGTATTGCCTATGTTGTTTACTTAATAAAGGAAAAAGTTTAGTTTTACTCTGGGCTAATTTTTTGTCAATCTCCTGTCATGTTAGAGTCTCAAACTGCCAGAAGATGAAATTAGCTGCACACAAGGAATCTGCAGATACATGTAAAGATATTCCTCGCCGGTATAGCTGATATCATTGAAAGAACTGTGTTGTCCCTCCACAAGGAGAAATATCCTGAAAGAATTTAGCAATATAACTAATTAGATGCATGTATTGTACTTCATGGTTCAGTTCAGTTCTTGTCTGTTGATATGATAGGAAATAAGACTCTAAAGAAAAGTATTCCTCAGTCTTGCAAGAACATGTCTACAGCTCTAAGTGGATAACATAGATTGTTTTGCTTATGGTATATTGTAAAAATTGAAAATTTATTTATTTACATTGCACAAGTTGTATTTAAAACCTTGTTTGTGGCTATCAATAAAAATAGTGTTCAAAGTGTAAGTGTGCGATTTTAACTGTAAAGATTGCCAGTCTTTCTTCTGTAGCACCAAACCCAACTTCAAAACAGAAACCACTAAGCAAATTGGAAAGGAAATCTTTGCTTGGGCATTAAAAGATCCAGCGTTTTGGTGTCTGCTTGAGATATGAAGAAACACACATGACAGGAATTATGGAGACAAATACATCAGTAGAAACTTTGAAGAAACAAGATTGAAACTAAACCCCATGACCATCTCAACTTTAAAAAAAATGTCACATTTAAATTTTTTTATTTTTATTTTGAAGAAAGAGTCAAACTGGGAAGGGGAATGAACTTTATTGTATGTGGCTACCTTCCTTAGAGCCTTAAAAGAATACTCTTCAATGACTCTGTACTTAGCCCTCCCCCCACCTACTGAAATGGTTGAAATCCAAAAAAAAATTGTCAGTGATCACCATCCCTGTTTGAATTTGTGTTATGCAGGAACAGATGCTTTGATCTCTTACTTTCATTTTTTCCAAAGCTTTCTCCAGAGCTCTTTTGTTTTGTGTTAGTCAAACTAAATTTACTAGAACTTTAGGTTTGGTTTAGATATGGCTGCCCTGATCACTTGAGCATTTCATTGGACGATTGGAGCTGCAGATTAACAAAAATGCTCTTCAATGGGATTTAAACCAATGTGGTCTTAGATAGAGTGTGTTTCTAGGGGGACATAACCACACAAGGTTATAACCTTTCAAAACTGAGTAGTGAAGAAAGAGAGGGAACCAAAGCCGGCATACAATGCGAGTCGATCCTAGTTATTCAAATCTCATTTACGTTGTTCACCCTTTGAGACCCAGAAGTGATTCACATACAATTTCTCCTTACAATATCCATCCACTATCCAACAAACAGGTAATAAGAGTACTCAAATGTTTCAGGCAGAAGTTATTATCTTGATCTAACACCAAATTCTTGCAACTTATTTACAAGGAAATGTGTAGCAGCTAGAGGGGAGAATTAACAATCAGATTCTGCGAGTTAAAGACTTAAATTTAAAGTAACAAGTCCCGAATATTCAACAATGAGACTATGAGCTCAAGATTTCTTATCACGCGATAGTTAATGAGAGCTAATACTGAATCCACTATCATGCATAGGTTTCTATAGTAGATAATCCCATTGTTTGAAAATAACTCGAGACGTTGTTAAAACCTTAACAACAAGACAGACTCATGTTTTTTTTATCCATTTATTTTGTTTACAAACAAACCCAAATAGGCTACTTGCTCTCCTCACTATGTATTACAAAGTAGATAGCAATTAGCGTAACCAATCAGAATGTAACATTTGTCATAGAACATCCAATAGACTTAAGTGGTATTACGCCAATTCGTGATACATATAGATAGTGATTTAAATGAGTAGCGAGTTCCGTGACCTATTCATGTCATTGTTCAATCAAAGCACGAGCCCGTCTTTTTGTTAAGTTTTGAACAACTAGTAGGTGTATACTAGTACACAACTGGATTATGTGCTTGAGAATCCTCTCCGTGTGGTAGTAGACGAGGAAGTGTTTAATACCAACCCTAATTCTCAACCGGAAATATAGTTCTACGTGATCAGACATGCCACCTTCACCGATTAAAAATATGGCAAACATGAATAAAATGCAATATTGCCCTTGGGTAAGTTTTTTTTATGTCTTGTTAAAAGGCTGTCTAGACCGGATTAGTCTGTATTGAATGAAGTAGACAATCATGAGGCATTTCTATCGCTATTATGAAAAGAGTTCTATAGTTATTACAAAAAGAGAATCGTATTTTGGTGCTGACTTTCGTGGCACGTCAAGTGCCAAAGGCGTTCAGAAATTTTTTGTTCGGCAGTACATTTCTAATTTTTGACTTTCTATTAGTTCTTATGTCATTGTTTTTTTTTTTTTTTTTTTTTTTTTTTTTTTTTTTTTTATCAGTTACAAATTTTCGATTTTCTCGTCACTCATGTTTTCTGATTCCCCGCAACTGAAATGACACAATGTACTTCATGGCTGGCGTGCAATTAGGAGGAAACGGGGAGTACATAATTTGAGTGCATAGCCGCAGTTGTTGGTATTTTATCTTACATTTCCCTCCCTTGCCTTCCTTTGCCTGGAGGTTAATTTAAGCAGACATAGAGCAAAGTATTTCACGTTGAAAAAATTGATCAGAAAACAGGAAGGACAACAAGAAATATTTTACGAGGGGGCCCCAAGATAATATAGGAAAATTTTCAAGTTTTCACATTTTTAAGAGGGAACTTCAACCACATGAGTATGGCGTGTGATCCTTCCATGGTGCCAATCTCGGTTTTCAAGTGCCTATCAATTGCTAATATTGTAATCTGTGATCTTGTGAAAGGGATTAAGCATCACGACGGAGAGGGGAGGGGCAAGGGAGCAGATGTCCGGTTTCTCGACGTGCTAGGAATATACCATTGAGAAATTTCTCGATCGACTCTCCACAACATTCTTCCCGCTCTCACTCGCTTGGAGATCCTTTAGGTTCATTTCAAGAATATAACTTGTATTTTTTAATGCAAGAGCTCTTACGAAACCAAGAAGAGTGAGAAAAGAACGACTTTCAGTTATTTGCGTGTCGAATTTTTAACGAGTCCTTCAGTAGGTTCGGTCCTTCACGTCACATAACAATTATTTATTTTAGTTCGGGTGGTAAACATCCCTTTTTTTTTTTAATAATGAAATTGCAACATTTTTGGCATAAGAACAAAAATGTGGATCGTAAGTGCTTTCTTCTTTACATCTTTGAGTAATTTGCATCTTTATTACTGGGAGACAACAGATCACTGCACTTTCTCAGTAGGATCTCGTTGAGCCATTTGCAGAAAATAGGTTATTTTGGCATGATCATTTTTTATTCTTAATGGGTGTACTAAAGAAGAAGTTTCACGATTTTTTCTGAACA